AAAACAACACAGAAGCATTAAAGTCCTTAGATATGGTTCATTGCATCATTAGAAGAAAAAACATGTGATTCGGTTCTACTATCTTTAAAAAGGTGGCACTAAAATCAGGCCTAAAGCACATGTCAACATGCATAACAACCTTTTACTTTGATTCTGAACAATTATAACTCTTCAACTTGAGTGTTTGAGGTTCTGTTTGTTCAGCTGCATTGCAAGTTCAATCTCACGCTGGCCATAATAAGTAGATTTTAAGAATACACTGAGAGAGTATTCGACCAATCTTAAAAGCACTTGGAAAAACAGAATGACAATTTGTTTCCCTTTTACTGAATGAAAGCAATCTGGACAATCACGTTATAGCCTGAGTTAGTGACTATTACTGCTTTTATCGTTTATTTGATATGAATCTACTGCCAGTTTGTTTTTCTCCATAATAAGTTAACTTTTTTGGGTTGTGATTAGTATCTCCGTTGGCTCTCATTTCTGTGTTGATTGTGGCCTTGGCACTTTTTGTTTCTTGATGTGAAGCTTGCTAGTTATATTCAAGCAAGGCTTCTGTGCACACTGTGGTGAATTATTGGCTACAAACAGTAAGCTAACCCTGAGAGAGGCTAAAGAGCTCTGCATAGAGGTAATTCAGCACCAGATCATACGCACGAGGCACGTTTTTATCCTTATTCCCACGTTCTTCTCCCGGGAAATTTGGGAGTTACCATGGGAACTGATGAATTCCCGGGACAACTCAGCTGCTGCCAGCTGAGCCCCCACCCACATTTTCCCCGGTTCTTCCCTCCCTCCTGCCCCCACGTGCATGTAGAGGGGACCGAGCTGAAGTTTTCTGCTCCAGTCTGAGCAGTTTCCACTTGACTTCTGGAAAAATGCTTTGCAGCTTCGTTAACTTTAACAAATCCCAATCCAGCGTTGGATAGTTTGTGCTTTTTTGCCCCTTGTCTGAAACCAACTTTGTTTATGACATTAGGGAAAAAGCAAATACAGAATTCAAGAGTCATTAAAACACTGATCTAGGTATTTAAAGATTTAAAATAGTACACTTGTTAAGTGAAATAGTAACACAAATTCTTACCAATACAAAGGCACAACACATCCAAACAAACAAGCATCTTCCTCTTGGTGCAAAACGAGCTTTCCACCTCAGGTTGGGTGAGGAATTGTTTCCCAGCTCCGTTCTCCTTCCCTTCCCCGGATCCTCCGCTGTCAGCTAACCGCCGCTGGAGCTCCTCATCCTGGGGGAGCATGCTGCTGTGAGTACCGGTGGAATTTAACTTCTGCATGTCTCTGGCTGGTTAAAAGTTAATGACAACTTGTTCGAATGTGGTTCCAGTAAGTCCTTTACGTTTGTGGTGGCTGGCAAACGATGAAAATCCCAAAAACTTTAAGTCCATCCGTCGTCGGTGCGCCAAATCATGTCAACTAAAGTTTGACAGCAGGAGACCCTGGTCAAGCACCCGGCCGCGAGGTGAGGTTACGTCGGTCATCCAAAGGCAAGAGAGAGGGGGGGCAAAGCAAGGCAGGAGAAAACCAGACAGAGGAAAACAAGCATCCGACTAAACCGAGTCACAACAAACTTCTACCGCTGGAGCGTGCTCTACAGACTACTTTGAAACGTCCCGAGCGAAACATGTATGCAGCAGCGAACATTAATGGAACTTCAAAATAAACCCCGTGACTGCTCCTCCTATCCCAAGTAGAGTAGTGCTGATGCGTTTAAGTTGGTTATTTCCGGTATGTGGTAGTGGGTTTGACTTTACGCATTTTGTTGGAGCAAGGAAAAAAAACTTAGAAAATCAATATGTAACGATCAGACTGGAGCTTGCTAACAAGTTCGATCCATTTGACCTCATGACCGGGTACATGTCCATGCCTTAAACTGCCTCGCCAGTGTCAGGACGTGTCCCACATACAACTTCTGGAGTTCAGAGGACATGTGGGTTGTTGTTGTTTTTTTTTAAGAGTTTGTTGTTCATAAATTTTACACAATCAAAACAACGAACCAAAACCAAACAAAACGAGGGTATAAATACATTCCATAATAATGATGTGTAGTGTGTCCTTGTAGAAAGTAATCTTATATCCTTTGTTGTGATGACTTTTTAATGGCATTTTTATTGCACTGAGCCTTATGCCTTAATGGGCACACGACTTCCTCACTATACAGCTAATTTAATTTCCATAATATTGACTGCTGCTTGATTGTCTGCCAGACCACTCAATAAAACAATCTGAACGCGTGATATAAGTCTAGTCTTTGCCCCACTGGCATAAGGGCTTTATGAAATATCATGATATTTCATTTGTTAATCCAAAGCTGTATAGGTCATTTGATTCCTTTCGTTATTAAAGCTTTTGTTCGTTGGAGGTATCCTGCCACCTGCTGTAAAGATTAAAGTACTACTGCTTCGCCTCTGAAAAGTTCATCAGCTTTTTTAAATTGATACATTAAGCTATTCATCCATCTGCTGATGCTCAAGCTGTTATTTCTATTATGAATTATTCGTCTACCTTATTCATTAGTTATTAGGCTTTGAATGGCCAAAAGCACCTATTGTAATTTCCCATCTAGTATTCAAAATCTCTCATTTTCTATAGCGCAAACGACCATCAGCCTGATGGAAATGGAGACTCATTTTTTTAACTGAAAACTGAATGTTACCTGGAAAACATACAAGCACTGTTTTAATATTTCTCCACTTTTTATGCTTCTTTCATTTTTTTTTTTACATACTGTAAAAAGTAGACGTTAAAGCCTACCGTGAGACAAAACCTTGAAATCATTGATGTTCAGAGGGTGCATTAGTGCATTCATAGGGTTACAGGTAAACAAATATATGTCACCCTTGTTTTTTCTGACTCAGTTCTTTTATTTCATAACCTTTGATGCATCTGGTGTGCAAGTAAACGGCACAAAAAGTTCACGATATGGATCTAAACTGACTTTTGGATTAGCAGGTTAACCCTTATTGTCTAGGTAAAAGCTTTGCACATTTGCAATGAGCACCAAAAGCTAGATTATAACTGCATCACATATCACTCATTGCTTCATTTCAAAAGCCTTCCAGTAGTGGTCATTTTTATGGATGTTTTCAGAGCTCTTTCATTTTTACTGTTTTTTTTTTATTTTTGTTAAAAAAAAAGAGAGAAAATGTGTGTTCATATTTGGATAAACTTTTTAAGAAAAGGAAAAATGTCAATATAGGAGTGTGGTCCCAATTAATAATGGATTATCTTGTATTTTCCATAATTTTTTTAAAAAATCTGCTAAATCTCTGTAAACTAAAAATGTGGATCAGTCCATCGATGCATTTTCTTAGCTGCTTATCCATTTTACAGCTGCAACTTATCCAAGTTGTAATTAGTCCATGCTCACATTCACACCTACAGTACTTCATCACCTTCTTGAGTCACCACTAATTTCTTTATTTAGTGACTTACTGAAATATGAAAACATCCAAGGAAATACAATTTATTAGGCAAAAACACAGTTTGTACAATTCTAATGAACTTGAAAATCAACATTATGTATGTCCTGAACTCTCTTTCTTGTAATTTCTTCCAGTTTAAGTGGAAATGAAAAAACATCCCAGGCTACACGAAGGACATTCAACGCTCTTTCTTTGGCGCTGGCTGCCTTTTAATCCATTTTCTGTCATCGTGATCCCATGCTGCTTCAATAATGTTGAGGTCTGGGCTCTGGGGAGGCCAACCTGTGACTTATAGTGTTTAATTGTGTAGTTTTCTATCCATGAGTGCCTTTACTGCACTGACAGTGTGTTTGCAATCATGCTAAAAAAATGAAGTGGTTGCTAATCTGAGACTTTCCAGAGAGTTTTTTATCTGCTGGATTAAAACTCTGATGGCACTTTTCTGCCGTTGTAATTCCATCATTTTTGAGAAGATCCCTGACAGCACCAGTGTTGGGAAAGTCACTTTGAAAAAGTAATTAATTATAGTTACTAGTTACTTCTTCAAAAAAGTAACTGAGTTAGTAACTGAGTTACAAGATTCTAAAGTAATTAATTATTTGAAAAGTAACTATTGCATTACTTTAAAAAAAAAAACGTTTAACCCTCTGGGGTCCAGGGTATAATTGGCTATTTTTAACTACTTTTGATGTTTCCTCTACATTTCACCTTTAAAAACTATTTACTTTGCCTTGTTTGGTATCATCAGCACAACCTCCCATGTCTGAATTTACAGTTATGTTTTCATTTTGACATACTGTATTAACACAATTGATCTAAAATCAGACAAAAAACACAACATTTGAGTAGAAAAAAGTTATATTTTTTACTGTAACAACCACAAACATGTTTAATGAATCATATTTCATAACTTTAAATACAAATATAAATTGTTCAAGTTTTACAAACAACAAAGTTATTTGCAGCCATTTACCTTTTACCATTTTTTATAACCATTTCAAACTGCATTCAATGAGATGCCACACAAATTATTTGTGCCACTCCCAAAATTTCTGTCCACTATAAAGGAGAACATCACAGCCTGATACCTGCAGGTCTGACAGCAGGTGTACCACTCCTGTTTTCTACCTGGAGACAGCAGTCGCCTCATTGTTCTGACACACAACACAAAACTATCCACAACACTACACACTAACTACACAAGACAACACATTAACTACACGCTCCAAACACGCTAAACGTCACACATCTCTCACATCTCAAAACTCAGTCTCTTTCTTTTTCTGCTCTGTATTTCTCGCCATCACTCCTAAACCTTCCCCCTCTTCCTAAACAACTAAATCTCATGTTGTCATATCATTTTTGATTGGTCGACATGGTGCATTTTTCCACCAACACGAAAGGGCTGTTTTTTGTTTTGGTTTTTGGGGGTTTTTTTGGTCATAAGCAGAGAGTGCTTGCTTGCGCTTTTCCTTAGACAGTAAACGTGATGAAACTATTCAGGAAAAAACACGCGTATGTATTGTTTATCATGACTCTGGTTTTACGTGGCCTATCAACACAATTTATAAACTGGTATCTATCACCTTGTTGCTTTGTCTTTAAGTGGTCATGTGATTGCCAGTCCATTTACCATTTACTGCATAGCATGGCAAAATATTCCATGTTTTTGCACAATAGCTGTTTGTTACTGTAAAAAAACATTTTATGCCTATCAAACTGTGTTATCAATTGTCTGTGTCAGAGATTCAATTAAAGAAAAAATGGGTGAGAAAGTAAAAGAAAGATTTAATTTAAGATCCTGTCAGATAGAAGGACTGGGCTGAAAATAAATGAAATGAACCCAAAAGCCTGCAGAAATATTTCCCATGACTAACCTTCTACAAATTAGAAGTAAATCTGGATCCTTGGAAGTAAAATACAAAGAATTCAATACAATACTGCACAGCCAATCTTTCAACCACAACCATATTTTTGAACTCGGAAGAAATGGAGTATTCAGAGAGAAATGAAAGAAAGCAAAAGGAAACTGTTTCTCTATGTTGAATTGTGTATTTTCTGTGGGAAATTCTACAGTGATGCAGTAAAAGTAGTAAAACCCCATCTTCAGTTGTCTGGAACACAGTATCACAGCTTTGCATTTACTGTAGGACAATAATCATAACTACTAATGAAACTAAGTACGAGCTTTTGTTGGTCGTTTAACTTTTTCTTTCCTTTTTGCTGATGGTCTCAGTTTTGTGCATTTTTGATTTATGGCCACTAGATGGCTGTAAGTCATCATAAATCCTCCTGAGACCCAGAAGAATAAAATTTTGTGATATTTAGATTTGACATTCACATGCTACAGCAAATGTTGGAACTGGAAGGAGAGTCTTACTTAGTCAGTTTCATACTTAGTGCTGTCAGGAGATGCAGGTGGAGTGGGGTCTGATCTTACAGCAAGAAGGTGAAAGTTCAGAGAAGGATATGTAAACAGTGGACGGCAAAATAATGACACAAAGTCTATTACTTGTAAGCTAGGGCTATGAAGTTGTGGGCTCAGCAGATTTAAGCTGTCTTGCTGTATTCAGTTAAGAGAGCTCTTCAAGATGTCTCTTATCAGTAACACCAAGATCATTTGTTGTTTTGATGGACTGCCTAATCTTAAAGAATCTGTCTTATTAGTTTCTATTAGCTGAAAACAGGAAACAGTAAATTCAAATCCTGTGTTATCTGAGTCATGCCGTGAACACAGATATGCTGAAGAATGTTTTTGCCTTTCATGTATTGTTTAAACTGAATTCAACTGATAAAGACAAGACACATAGACTTTAATGCTTTTTTCCTCACAAATGTAATTCATTACAGAAGTGAAACTTTAAGTGTGTGTGTGTTTTCTAGAAATTAGAATGCCTTAAAATTTAAAATCCAATGTGGCAGTTGAGAAACCACACCAGACAACTTCAAAGCCCTCGCACAATATTTCTGGAGTGCCATTATTTTGCCCTGGCTCAGACTCCTCAAAGGCTGGTATGTCTTCCTCTGAGCTTTCACCTTCCTGCTCTAATGGCTGGCCTTGCTCCACCTCATCTCCTGACAGCTGTAAGTCTGACTCTCCTTTCACAGTTCTGAGTAAATTTCCTTTTCTCCTCGTCCTGCCCTTTGCTTCCTGAAATATTAAAATAAGTTCAGGATGTGAGGCAGTAAGACCTGCTGTCCACTACAAAGGGCACTGGATAACACTTTTGTTCCGGAAGGGTTAAAATTGCTATACACTTCTAAAATCACACTAAATCAAAGACGCTCAAATAGAAGAAACAAACAAAAAAAATCACTTTGTCTCCTTTGTGGCCATAAAATGTGGAAGCTGCAATTCTTGTACAAGAAAATCCATGTGCTTTGTTAGACCAGCTCCCACAAACATAGCATTGATAAGATCAGAATGTGATATAGATTGTATGTGCCTCAGAAGTTGTACTGTGATTTATCATGAGTTGTGCACTTTGTTTTGGCTTATGTTTTGGAAAATAGTGAATCATCAACAATGCAGAAGTAAGCTAGTTGCATTGCAGAAAGAATCATTGCTTTCATGTCATCGTATTCATCACACAATGAGAGACAGCAGGGGTTTCTCACTGTCCTTTAAACATGCACATGACTCGATACTGCTGACTCCTAAAAAAAAAAACAATTGCTCATCGGCTTTCCCCATCTTATCAAAAGAAAAAAAAAAACATAACAATCTCTTGTTCCTTTTTTGCTCCTCATAATTTCATTTAACTAAAATGTATCCATGTAACAAGTCTGGGCATGTTGTTTACAGCTCTGTTACTTGACCATTCCCAGTCATAAACACCGCATGCATCATTTTTTCTGAGTGATTGAGTTTGATGACGCATACCTGAACCAAAGCCCATCCTGTTTTTGCTGCCATGAAACTTTCCCCTGTCAAAGTACAAACGGAGAAAGTGAAACCACATTTACTGACCACAAGCAGAATTTAGTTGCAGGTGGGAATTTTTAAAAAGCGCAAATAGTAAACAGCTCATCACAACATTTTTAGAGTTCCACTGCTAAATTTTGCAGTGACATTCTGTTATAAGATCAGACTTAAGATAAGTTGTTGATAAGTCAACAATATGTGGTTGAATTATGTTGCAACAGTTCTTTCTTTTATATTCAGTTTACTATTTTTATCTCTGGTTATGATGCTTGCGTCAGTTCCAAACAAATATTTTTAAGGATAAACTGTAACAGAGGCATATTGTCATGTTGGTACACATCTTTACCCTTCCATTTTAATATTAGTGGAGAAATACACATAGAAAAAAATCAGCAAAGTAATGATTTTCAGTGTTGTAATAACCACGAAAATATCCTAAAATTTTCACTTTAACAGTCTCTTCATGAATAAGGAAGTGAAGAACACATTTCAACATATATTTATGTCAAAGTTTCTCTCCTTCCTTTTCTCCCAGCTGTCAGTCTTGTTCCTGTCTGTGTGACTTGTGGTGAGTAGGAGAAAAGGGCCAGTCCCTTTAGAGATATAGATATAATCTGGCTGTGTCTCCCTTCAGTAGCATACAGGGGAAAGTACCATTTGGATACTTCAGATACTTAGGGCACACACTGAGCTCAGGAAGCGAAGTAACACATCAGTGCACAGCAGAGGAAACTCAGGACTTGTACAGTCGTCGTTTCTTAACATCTATCTTCCTGCGTTCCCCGGGCTAAGAGCGCTCCGAACCCTGCTGTTTGACTGACGATGCCGGAGCCTACCCAGAATTTACTGATCCGTATCCTCGTGTTGTGGAACACCGTAATCACCATATTCCTAATTGTGTTCTTCGTTCTATACTTCACAGCAGGACATAAAGGCTTGGTGAGAACTCTTTGAATAATACTTTAACTATGGTGATTAGTGATTAGACAAAAAAAGGTAACTTCTTTTTAAAACCGTTAGTGTAGCATGAACATTTTTTTGAATAATAACATGAACTTCAGAAAAAGTCAACACCTGCGCCGTACATCTGCTCTTATTTGTGGTTTTGGTAGTAGCTGGTAACTGGTGAGAAAGACACCTATGCCTGTGGTCTACATTTGGTTACAGACCCCCGTCATAACACCCAGTCACAGCTTTCTCATAATGTTCAGTGTTTTTGAGTTAAGTTGGTTTCCCACAGAATAAAATAAGATACAGTAATACAGCACCAGGGATGCCTTACTTCATTCAAAACACAAGTTTATTACTGGAAGAAAATAGAAGTCATTTGTAGTTTTATAGAAAATGAACATATTTAAATGTTTAAACAGTGAAGAAGGCATCTTATTGACAAAAGATTGCCTAAAAGAAATTGGATGACATCTGGTGCTGTTGTAGAACTATGTTAACCCTCCTGTTATGTTGGTTTCCAGGAACACCAATTATGCTCCTGGGTTCATTTGGGCAAATTTACTCATCCAAAAGTGTCAGAAACACTGGCATTGATTATTTTACAATTTTCTTTTATGATTTTGATTTTTTTCATTTTCTGTAGTGATGCAGATGACATGTGACATCTCTTCTGTTCTGGGTCAATCTGACCTGCAACATAACAGGAGGGTTAAAACATTACAATAGTATGATCATTTTTTGAATAAATTACACGAAGGGCAGAAAAAAATCAACATCTGTGCCGTACAGCTGTTCTTTTTTGTGGTTTTTGTAGCATAGCTGGTGAGAAAGACACCTATGCCTGTGGTCTACATTTGGTTACAGACCCCCGTCATAACACCCAGTGACAGCTTTCTCATAATGTTCAGGTTCAGGTTTAGTTGGTTTCCCATAGAATAAAATAAGATACAGTAATACAGCACCATGGATGCCTTACTTCATTCAAATGCAAGTTTATTACTGGGAGAAAATATAAGTCATTTGTAGTTTTATAGAAAATAAACATATTTAAATGTTTAAACAGTGAAAAAGGCATCTTATTGACAAATGATTGCCTAAAAGAAATTGGATGACAACTAGTTCTTTTGTAGAACTATGTTAAAACTCACAATTGCACCTAAATTTCAGAGTTTCAGTCAGCAGCATGTTTCCACCCCGAAATCCTCTTACAGTATTTAGTATAAGCACTTTTGTTTCCTTTTCCAATCTTAGGAAAATAGTGCTGTAGAATCATCCAAAATTTCCTCCACGGAAAAGAGATGGGTAAGCTATCCATCATTTCTAAGATTTATTCAGAGTTTGTGTTTCTCTCCTGACTTTTGTGTTAAACATTCACCCTCTGTCCATTTTCCTTTATTTCTTGCCACAAAGACGTCCTGCTGATGTTACATGTATTTACTATTCTTACACATGTGTAGTAAGCGAGATAGATGCTGCACTATGTATGTCAGATTAATTCCATTTCTTATGAGTTACGTATGTCTAACCACTCTCCTCCCCTCTTGGAGGAAGCTCAGTGACGTCATTGCCACATTCGGGGAAATGCCACTAAACTCAACTGTTGTCTCTTCATTTTCCTTCTGAAGTTAGTACACAGTCTATGCTGTAAGCTGCTGTTGTCTCACGTTGAATAAACTGCAGCCTCTCTGGGCCTGAGTGTGTGTCCCTGGAAGTCATGTTTGCACCACATTTACTGTTACTATTTTGAGAGTGATAAATCCCTTCTTCTTCTTTCAACAGACAACCACCGCCCCCTCTAGCCTCTCCTCAATTACAGGAAAAATGCTCAGCTTTAAGTTTGCGGAAGGTAATGTTTTTCTTATTTCAATTTATTATCTGCACTTAAAATTTATCATATCCCCATTCAAATATTGCTGTGTTTATACTTTCTTTGTCAGAAGAAAAAAAATGTAATCCCATGAAATACATACAGTCAGTAAATAAATGAATACAGTCAAATGTACTTTACTTCAGGAAAAAAATTTGATTTAAAAACTGAATATAGAAAAAACAAATTTAGCATCTATAGCAGTCTATTTTATGTCCTCCACAGGTGGAAGTGATATAACATGGAGTCCAATTCGTTCAGATAAAACCCTGATTTCAAAAGTCAACAATGGCCTGAGCCTGAACATGGATGGATACTATTTCCTAAATCTTCAGGTTGCAGCTGGTCCAGACTGTTCCATAACAGATCAATCCAGTGTGAGCCTGGTGTACATACCGAAGGACAAAGACCCCAAAATTCTTCTAAAGGGCTCAATTAACAAAGAAACAAACACCACAGGTATTCTCAGCAAGGTAGTGGAGTGCGGTGCTGGAGAGAGGCTGATATTCAACATTAGTGAGCCATTACTCAGTTGTGTTGATAAAAATGATAGTAAAACTCACCTGGATATCATCTTCATGCCACGGCTTTAGATGTAAGTTCATTATTTTTAGCATAGTGCACGACACCTTTCCAGCTTTGGAACCCACACTGAAGCAAACCTAGTCTGAATCTTGTTGGGTGTATTTGTTCACTTTGGATGGATCACACTTTGATTTTGGCCAGTTGATCTCCAGATCAGCAATTTACCTAATAATTTTTGTAAAAGATGCATAAAAAAGGGGAATTCAATAAGAGGTTGGATGAAAACCTCGTCTCTTTTTACATTCCGGTCTAGAGCTCGCCTTAAACAGGGTTTATAATGATCCAATGATGTTCAGTTTTGTAAAGTAGATATAGCAGACCGGGTATTGGTCTCAGGTTGTATCATCACTACAAAATCACACTTGAAAACAGCGCAATGTATGTAATGTATTGTGTATTTAATGGATTAGAACCAAAGCTGGATTGTTTTCATTGTTCTCAAATAGCTGTTTTAAACAGAAACTTTGAAGCGGGTTGTTCAGAATTGACAGATCTCACTTGTTGAAACGATATTTCTTTGTTAGAGCTTTGCATGTTTAAAATATCTAGTAGTTGATTTCAAGAATTTATTGTGCTGAAGTGTCACATTTTTCAGCAGGAGATTGCTTTTGATGTTTGCACAGATTATACTTTCTAATTTCTGATTCATTTCTTGTTTTGTTAACATTGTATGAATTCTGTATTTAAGTTTATTTATTTATTTCTCGCAACAAAAACCATGTGCAGCATATGATTTAGACACATAATGGATGTAACAAAAAAACCCCATGGCAGGTCAGCTAATAATCTATGAATGTTTATTTTCTCAGTGATAATGTTTCACAGGGTGTACCAGTCACAAACTGGTAGTGAGTCACTGGAATCTATGTAGAGAATTGACTTTGTTTGTTAAAAGAATGTAATTCATATTTGGAAAGAACAAAGGTGTAGTTTTGATTTACTTGACCAATAACATACTTTAGTATTTCATCTCTTTAGTCTAAAGTTAAGTGTGAAATGACTTGATAAGCTCCAGACATCCTTGACTACATGTACTATACATTGTGACACGTGAAAACACAAGTCGCAGTGGTTGTTGCGGTAAGTTTCATGTGTTTGAGATTTGAAAGAAATACTGGGTTTTTTCACTTTTTGTATTTTTTTTGATGTTTTAGTGGAAGAGGAAGCTGCTTATGCATTTGAAAAGATTTCTGTGAGACCTGCTAAATGTGTGTGTTTAAATTTGACTTTAACCATTGTTATGAAAAAAATAAGAGAACGTCTTAGTTAAAAATGTTTACTGTCTTTATTGTATTTGATGTGACTGTAAAACAAAAACAAACTCAATATGAATCAAAGGACACGATAACAGTGATTAAGGGCTTTTGGGTTTGAGTCATTTATGAGACCCTACATATGAAAGTGAGAGGTCATGAGTTAACATTGGATTACCACATAATCACTAATAGAAAGATACAGCGGGACCCTCCCTGTCTATATGCTGTCGAAGAATATGTCCTCTTGACTCTTGACAAAGCAAACAGAAGAAATGCTTCTCATACAAAGCATTCAAAGTCACATCCAGTGACCTAAATCGCAGTGACAGAGATACAGTAAAGCAGCAAAAAAGGTCACTGGAACATTAGTCATCACAGTCAAGAGGCACATTTTCCAGCTTTCATTTGAAAACTTTTGTTTTCCAAACCTCAGCCACAAACGAGTCCCATATCTCTCAGTGCTCTGTCAATTAGTTGTTGCTACCACAGCTTTCGATTGCAGTGAAGAGGTCCAGGATGTAAAAATTGATAGCAGACATAGCAAACTACCACCCACTCTGTCTCTTTTATTAGAGGCCTTAGATGCATTTGCATGGGTTGATTTTGGTTGCTCCCTTCCTACTGCTTTCCACTGCCCAATGTCAAGATAATAAATGGTGTATCCACACAGAGAAAGTGTATAACCTCTACACATCATTTTTGCCCAGACATCATGGAGAGAACGTCGACATTATAAACATGTTTACAGCATGCACTTTTTGAATAACAATCTTCCAGTTTCTTCTTGTAACCCTTATCAATATGCCACCTCTTACAATAAAAGATTTGTCAGACTAGAAAATGTCTGAAATGAGTAAGCTTCTAAATCCAGTCACAGCGGGTTTTTTTAATCTTGAATCAAAATGATAGTGATGTCAAATCTTTAAAAGTTCAAATATTTCTCACTCACATATTTTTCCTCCAGCCTGTAGTGTTAAATAGCCATGTAGAGTATTGTGTGTGGGTTACCCAGTTTTGGATATATACACTACTGTGCTACAAGAGTGCTATGCGCAGACACAAATTTCTGATATTTAGCAAAAGACTAAAACAATACAAGAATTTTTCTTGTTAAAATTCAAGTACAGATCTCTTGGATGGTTACCGCCGCACAACAGGCATCATTATTTAACAGCTAATCCAATTAAAATTCTACTAAAGACAACAATAACACAAATACAGTGGAAAGGTCACGTTTAATAGCAGAGGTGAAGCCTAACCCACACACACAGGTCAGTTACAGCTGTCTGTGTCCAACAGCTGAGCAGCTCCTGTATCCACCATAAAGCTGTTATTAATTAACACTATCCACACAGTTCTAGACCATTTTTGAATCAAGCTGTAAATATGGTGTTTTAAAGCTGCAAAGTTGGGTATTTTTGATCTGATCAACTGCAGATTTTTGATCTGATCATCTGCAGAGGAATGGTTTATTTAAAGAGTTTCGTGAGGTTTCAGAACTCATCATTGTACAGAAACAGCATAATTGAAGGTTATGAATGAATCATATCTATCTGATGGATTCCAATTGGAAAGAACATGATTTGTTTGCATAAAGGGACAGTCCTCTTCACACACACTTCATACACTAAGGTTAATTATGGAGTTCCGCAGGGTTCCATGCTAGGATCAGTTCTGTTGACTTTATACAGCCACTATCATTAAAAAGCAAAGGGTACATTTTCACTGCTATCCAGATGACACCCAACTTTATCTGCCCGTGAAGCCAGATAACACTCACCAATTAGTTAATTGCAAGAACAACTTAAAGACAAAAAGACCTGGATGATCTCTTATTTCCTGCTTCTAAATTACGGCAACTGGTGTCTAACTGGATACTTAGAATGGCATTACCTTGGCCTCCAGTAAAACTGGGAGAAATTTTAGAGTCATTTTACATCCTTCAGTGTGTATATTGAGCTAATATGTAGGACTGTTTTCTTGCATTTGTGCAATATCTTTACAATTAGAAACATCTAATTTTAGAGTGATGTTAAAAAACTAGTTCATGCATTTATTACTTCTTGGCTGAACTACTGTAATTTGATAGGACGGGGCTCTCCTAAAATCTCCCTGAAAAGCCTTCAGTTGATCCAAAATGCTGCAGTAAAAGTACTGACAGGGACTACAAAGAGAGAGCATGTTTCTCCATTATTGGCTTTTCTTCATTCATTCTCCTCATATACCAGTTCTAGAATAATCAGGCCCTGTCTTACCTTAAAGACCTCATAGTACCATATCACTCCAATTGAGCACTTCAGTCTCAGACTGTTGGCTGACTTGTGGTTGCTAGGATATTTAAAAGAAGAATGGGAGGAAGAGCTTACAACTTTCAGGCCTCTCTTCTGTGAAACCAGCTCCCACATTGAATTTTAGCAACATTTTAAGACTATTTTCAAGACTGAGGTTAAAACTTTCCTTTTTGATAAAACCTATAGTTAGGGCTGGATCAGGTGATCCTGGGTTCGTCCTCAATTATGTTGCAATAGGCCTAGGTTCCTGGGTCATTCTCATGATGCAGTGTTACTTCAGCTCTTTTGTCCTGTCTCCCTGCCCCAACCTCCAGTCCCTGACCCTCCATGAGCCTGGTTCTGCCTGAGGTTTCTTCCTGTTAAAAGGGAGTTTGTCATTCTCACTGTTGCCAGGTGCTCAAAGCTGGTCCTTTGATTGTTGGTTTATTTGAAGAGTTTTAGTCAGGCTTCAGAACTCTGTACAGACACAGCATTAGTGAAGGCTTGGTGTTTTCTGTGTTTTTGTAGGGTCTTTACCTCGTGATATAAAGCAAACCAAAGTGATTATTGTTATGATTTGATACTAAATAACATAAATATAATTGTTTTGCTCACCTCTTTTTGAAGCCAGAAGGCACCTGATATAGATGAAGTACTAATTCTTCAGCTAACTAGCGTTTATATTGGTTAATTAGTATTGCACTAATAAAATACTAGACTTTAACTCAAGTGTAGACTTGTAGGGTGGCCTGTATCTCACAGACAGCCACAATATTAATCAGATAATAGATTAAAAAAGCACCAAGGGCACAAAAACGGATCCCTAACTCCAGTGGATGAGTTACAGTTCACCCCACTCAAAGTTTTAGAGTTGTTCTGAAGAGGGGGGAAAGCCCCCACAGAAGCCCAAACTGTTATTTGTACCAACACAAGGGGACAGCATTTAGCTGCAGACTGTTTGCTGTGCTCCTCTTTCAGTTTTGCTTTGCATAAAAAAATATACTCTCTATAAACTATGTTGTGTGATTTTAGCCAAAAAAAAAGTTCAATTTAAGAGGCCATTTTTGCCTTATTTCAAAAGTTGATTGTAAAAATCAGCAGTGCTCAAGAGATCAATATCTCACACAGACCTGCTTTATAAATGGAAAATGTTGATTTCATATACGGAAGTGTAAAGATTTTGGTTCATGTCATAACCGGTGATAGAGTACTCTCAGCCCACACAAATTCTCTATACAAGTCATGCTTGGCCTCGAAACTACACAGCTGATACAGCTCGCGCTGCTGCGCTACTGTCGTCTCTCACACTTCACAGGTCAGCCAGCGCTGGAAGATCATGACTCACACATGTGTTATTAAAAGACCAGAAGACTTGAGAAAACATCATTCAGCTCATGGATAACTAAACTCTGGACTGGAGTTACACTTTCAGCTCTCAATTGTGTTTTCCCAATTTGAGTAATCCATACTTGGCTGAGGGAAAATTAATTAGAGAAATCACTCAGCCTACACACCCACCCATAGAAACACATACATGCACATACACATATTCATTCACATACACTCACACACACACATGTTGCTTCATTTTCACCAGCCATTTCTCTCTGGGTCTGGGGTTGGAAAGTGAGTCAGCCAAGCAATCTGCTGCTATCACCCCCCTCCCCCCGGCAGCCCCCACTACCACTTCCTTTTCAGTTTACAAATATACAACTCTGTGGGTGTCTTCTTCGAACACACATAGATGAAGGGAAAGTATAACAGTGACTGCATGGGACATACAAAAAAGGGGGAAAAAAAAAAAGCTTCAAAGAGCTTCTCGTTCGCACAGACCATGTCATGGTTGCACGTTGTGCCGAGATGTGACTTGAAAAGAAACGATGTAATCTACTGAAAAAAAGTAGTAAATAGAAAAGTAAACCAACAATGAAGACGTTGACATTTTTCACATCCACTTTAAACCTTTAAACCTTAAATAATGTTGCTGCCAGTATACATTGAGGTGAGAAGAAGCTGACATGATGACACTTTACTTTTTGGGCCATTGTGGTATTGAAAAAAAAAAGTTCCTCCAGTAACTGCTGTGTGGTTGGACTGAGTGGGCGACAACATTTTTAATACAGAGACCACTGAGCCTGTATCACGGTCTCAACTTTCACGGCAGGAAGTGAATACACTTCCCTTACTGTGCATGGCTAACAAAAAAGACCAAACCAAACAGGTCTTTTAAATTATTATGTGTTTATTTCATTGCACTGTATGACTTAATGTATATAAATACAGAAAAATGAGCTTTTTTCTTTAATAATAAAAAACAAATTCATAAATAGTGTGCAGTACGTGTTACAGCAAGTAGGAAAAAGAAAGGTTACAGTCTTATTTTTGATATTAGTATGAACACTCAGCAACAATCTGAAGTTCAATCTGTGAAATATGTATGTATATATATATATATATATATATATATATATATATGTATGTATTTGATTTTGATGTATTTCACTCTCTGTTTTTCAAATTTAATTA